ACGTTTTCATGGTGAACGCAAACATCGCAACCGATGGCACGTTGGCTCCGTATAGGTTGCGCCGCTACACCAGCTCTACCCCACTGTGCGCCGTAACGCGGGTGTACTGAATCCAGTGTGGGCACCTGTCCCGGCCGGCTCTGAGCGGTACAGGAACCCGGCCAACACAGGTCCCTGGTATTTGGCTGCTTACAAGCTCACAGTTGGCCTCATGTATGGGGCGCTGCGAGTATGGCTCCAGAACCCCTTAAACCCACAGCAAGCCGTGCTTCACGACTGGCCGTACGCCGCGGGCGAGCGGTTCTACGCGCGGAACCACATGTTGAGCTCTACGGGCGTGGGCTGGGGTCGGGTCACAGAGATTACCACCGATTGGCTGGAGCACCGGTTCAATGAGATGACCGCACTCATCACCGACATTAACCCGGTGTTCGCCATCTATGTGTGCGCCGGCGCCAAACTGGTGATCGTCGACGAGTACAACTCGACCCCGTTGGATGCTCGCCACCAGCGGACCCTGGTGCAGCAGGGTGGCGTAGTTCTGGTGGAGGGCCAGTTGACTCTGGGTGTGCCCAGTTTGCAAGAGTACAGCAGGTTTACGACCGCCGATCTGGGCCACGACACCTGTCCCTGGGAGTGCCCCGCGGGCCAGGACTGGTACGTACAGACAATTCGAGAAAATCCGTGTCCGATTGTTTTTCTGGGCGCGAATGAGTCGGAGTACGGATCGGTGGCCTGGGAGCTGTCAATATACCGGCACCCGCTACCGCCACCCATCCACGTTCACATCGACCCGCAGCGTAGGCGCCGCTCGTGCGAGCTGTACGCGCCCGAAGGCGGACGCGTGGAGGCCATTGTCGACTGGGCTGAGGGCCGCGAAGAGGTGTTGGCCCGGCATAAGTACCAACGCCTGCACGCGAGTGTCTGTAAAATGGACAGCTGGGAATATCAGGGCTTGCCGTTCCGGTGCCCGGACGACGTGGCCCTCATGAATCGTATACTGACCAACCGGTTTGTGGACGATGAGCACCCGGCGGGCGTTGACCGGTCCATCACTGTCAACATCGACTTGAGCGCCGTCGCCGGCCCACGATTTGCGCAGCACCGGCCGGCCGGTCAACAACGCCTGCCTATAGTCTACAACTGTCACCGAGTGAGCGATTGGCCCGACGATAACACTCGACTCCACCTGCGACCGCCGGTGGCGCCCGACTGGCCGTGCATTCAGTACGTGTTGGGCGGCAAATTGTATTACAACAAGTGGACGGGCGATTACAACGACAACCGGCACGTGAAGTACAAGTACGATACGGTGGGCAAAGTGGTGGCCACGCCGTACCTGTGCCGGCGGAAGGGCCTCCAACACGAGTACTACGAGGCCGGCCCCATACCGCAGCCCACAATGATATACAAGTACGCGCCGCTCCCCTGGGTCGCCGACCCGGAACAGGAGTGCGACGGTGTGAACGCCTACATCGGTATCGACGGCTGGATCTACGGTAAGGTTGACGCCGGCTTTCAACAAGAAAATATCGGTATGTATTTGTCAAAGTACTACCGGCCCGTTCCACTGCCTGTGCCTAAGGTTCCCGTGGCGGACAAAAAACGCGGCGCCGACCCCAGCGACGGTTCGTCCCGTCCGAGCAAACAATTGCGCGCAACCCCTAGTGACCAACCCTTGGCCGCCGCCGGTGTGGTTCAGTCTGTCTAATAGTGGATCAGTTTTGAGTAATTTTATAGCCCTATTCAAAGTCGTAGATATTTAGCGTTCTTTCAATCATTAAAAACAATTTATTTATTAATTTGTAAATTATTTTATGTGCAAATTTTAATCACAATTTTGTGGTACACAATGAATATAATACCTCAAGCAATCCGTACAGGTTTTATGTGGCGATTCATTTATTTCTGGTCACCCGATATGACAGCCCATCCAATAGTATAGCATCCGAGTAGTTAAGGTCATATATCCATTATCACACATGACGGCTATTTATTAACCTGTAAGACAATGAATGAGCTAACTAAAACTTAATATAACAGTATATCAACTCACATTATATTTGTTAAATAGTATAATGACCCTTTTCTTATTCATATTGGTAGCAGACAGTATAAATGCTGTATAAGTAATTATGTTATATAATAGTAGTCATTGATTACTAATCATATAACATGTAATACAAAGTGTCCAGTTTACATAAAGTATAATGTACGTATACACGTAAAGTATTGTGATATACTTTACTGTAATATTGTATTTTATTGTATTGGATATTATATTAAATTTCAATTACTAATTTAATAGCGTTTAATAATAATCTCAAATTTTTATTGGCTTGTTTTCTCGGTTTTTACTATTTTCTAATAGTTGTTAAATAGTCTTAAACTTCATAATATAATTATTTTGCATACTTAATGTTATAGATATTATTATGTTTTATGTATTGACATGTATTTTACTTCATGTAATAAGTGTATGTCTGGCCATAAATGGGCCCCAATTTTGTGACCATAATTACGTGGACACAATACTATGGGACGGATTGTCATATCGGGTGACCAGAAATGAATGGATAGCCGCATACGACCCGTACGAGCGCCGGGTTTCCACGTTTTACCACAAAAATCTCGTCGACTTTCCCAACAAAATTGGTTAGTTATTATTACATTGCACATTGACTACACCATTAAAAATGATAATAACTAAACAAATAATTATGCTTTACATAAATTTAATATAAATTTGATTAACTATCATATTAAATTATCTAGATATAAAAATTATATAATATTTTACATAATTTCTAACACTATGTAACTTATTTAAACAGATCGCGGCTACTACTATCAATCGGGTTACCACATACCTAGCGTACCGGCCGACTGTCAGCCGCGACATTCATTGACCTGCGAGATAATGAACGAGTTAATCGGACTCACAGTATACACTATACGGGACACTATATCGGGTGAGATAGTACACAGAGTGGACAGGACTACAGACTCTCTGCGAGCCCTCCCGGAGCGAAACGTACTGTACTTTTTTGACAGCAATCTGGCGCCCCGACGGTTTGTACAGAAGTACAGGCCCGCCGTATACGTACCTAACCATCACACGTTTGTTTACATAATCAACAAACATGGTAACTTTGGACCGATGGTCGAGACGGTTGAGTTGCGGCAGAATGGGGTGATTGAGCGCACGTATTACGGGCTCCGGGAGCCCAAGGACATAGTTTACGTGACCAGTTTTTGGTGGAAAAGTACCGGTAAGGTGTATGTGGTGGGTGAGGATCGGCTCGGCTTTGGCGACGCCTATGTCTACGAGTTGAACATTGAAAATAGGACTGTCTCAATAATACCTACGGTAGTTTTATTATTACTATCTAACATTTAACTTGTTAAATTAAAGTCTATAATTTATTTTGTTACCAGAATATGAGGGTAATTGAGTTTTTTGGGTGCCCTCCTGTGCCCACAACAGAACCCCCGGCAGCCGAGTATGAGTCGACCAATCGCACAGCTAGTAATGTTACAGCTATTGACTACAATAGTACCGACATTGAAGAGAATGATCATGAGTATGACTTAGTTGATAGTATACCGGTACAAGCTGATCCACAAGGTGACAAAAAGTTTACCGGCGAACCTGTTGAGCTAGATTCGACGCAACTGTTTTTCGTGATAGTCTATTATGTGTTATTACTTTACGCCATAATTATGGTAATCTACGGATGTCTTGTAGTAATTTGTATGTATTTTATTTTAGCATGGGTTATTTATTTTATAGATTACCTAAATTATTATAACAATTTATTTGCCGGTCAGTGTTGGGTAGTATAGCCGAAGGCCGGTGCGGTCGGGATGGCGGACGTCGGCTGAACATCGGTGTGTTGGCCGCCGACCTCTTGTCTGAGAGCAAC